CTACAGACCTGTTTTGCAGTGAATCATCGTAGTTCCTAACAAAATTTCCCCTCTTCAAATTTTGAAACCGAAAACAAGAACTTTTCAAAAGCCATTATGTTTCTGTAGTTTTTCCGTTATCTGTGAAAAAAGTACATAACAAACACAAACTAACAGAACAGTCATTACGAGATTTAGCAACACATGCAGAGTTATGCAGGTATATTAATCTGCTCTTTCAAAAAAAACAATTAAACTTAGATGGAAACAACAATTGCACTCTCACAGACACAGAAAGTCTAACACTCATCTAGCAGTCAAGGACAACCTGAAACTGTTTCTGTTTATGGAATTTGATGTTTTTAGCAGTTGCTACATGCGTAGACATTTCCCAGCTGGAAGGTAACGATGATTTTATGGAAACTGAAAGACACAACACTGATCTCTAGAGGTTTTTTGTTCTTGTTAGGAATGTGCTGCCCTCTAGCGGCTCTCTAAAGAAACTGCAGACCAGTTAGGTTGTGAGAGATCTCATACATGCCTGTCCCCCCTCTGTCTTCCAGGCTAAACCCCACCGGCTCTCTTCCCTCCAGGCTACAGACAGGTAGGTACCGACCCAGGTCAGGGTCCCATTCGCACAGCGGTGGAACTGGCCTGAGCTCCTGAACCAGCCCAGATAAGCGCTGGAGAGGCCTGTGAGCCCTGCAGCACCAGGGCAGGAGTTTGGTGCGCTCGAGTGAGACACCTTTGACCTCCAGCAGATGTCCCTAGTGTCGAGTGACGGCCTGTGAGACGTCAGTGCCAGGCGCTGGAAACATCGGCCAGCACGCAGCTGCCTGTATTGATAGGACACCCCCTGCTGATGACTTTAAATCTTCCCCGTGTTTTCAATTACCTTTCATTCGTTCTTTAATTTCTCTCAGTGGTTTTAGTGTGTTCCTGCTTACTGTCCATGTTTATGCAGTGAAGTGAAGTACAGTGAAGTAGAGCAGTTGAGGATGCTCGGGACTGAGTGAAAGGAATGTAGGAATAAAACCGATCGATTTGACCTTGTGTCTCTCCGCCTGATGGGCGGAGCTACTGTATTCTCACGCCGGTCTGTGTTTCGAAAGCTGTGAATATCCACCGGTCTCACTCCCGGGGCACCGCTGACATCAGACCGCCCCTGCCCCCTCCCCAGCCCCAGAGACCCCCCGTGACCTCGGAGCCCGCGATGGATGACGAGCAGGTACAGAGCACAGGGCGCCACGCATGCAGTGTGTGCCTTCCGCAGTCCTGTCCCAAGGTGGCGTTTTTCTGCGAGGGGGGAAGTTCAGGATTAGCTGTAATGATTTTAGTGGCAGCATGGTGGCGCAGCGGTTGGCATGGCCAACAGGCAGCGCTG